ATATTTTTATCTCCCTGTAAATTATCCTGCATATTGGCATTCTGAAGCCACGGGCGACTTGAATTTGAGTGGACTCCAGTGATTGACGGACATGTAGTCACAGTCTCTGGACATAAAGAATCAACTCTGTCCAAATACCCAAATCTGTCCGCATTAGGACTTTCTTCATGTCGGACAGTTCCAGCACTTTCTTTGCAAACTTTTTCACAACTTCTCCTAATTTTGTCACTACTTAGGCTCTGCATTTCATGTTTATATTTGTCCTCTGAAACTCCTATTTCCTGGAATGGCTGTCTTTTAAGTAAATTAGCATTCTCTGATTCCAAAGAAAATTTCCTCTTTATTTCAACATCACCACTCATCTTTGTCATTGCCTTTGTGTCTAACATCCCATTCTGTCTGTCAGACAGCGTCTGTGTCTCATGCTTCTCAATGCTCACGCCATCATCTGTTGAGTCCCCTTGACAAGAGCCTTCTAACATGTTTGGACTATCCTTGAGGTGAGTTTTGTTAGTCATTTCGTCTGTTTTGTCAGGTCGTTGCTGGTCCACAGCAGTAGATATATCTGCGGCGGTTGCGTCGCTTGTGACTGTTTTGAATTCTGAGGCACATGGATCTCTTGCCAGGCTCAGTTGAAGATTTGGTGTCCTGGCATTCTGTGAAACATCCGTGTCATAACTCTGTCTGATCTTTTTTCCTCTCTGGTTTAAAGAGGGCTCAGTGGTCTTGTCATTAGTTCTTGTTGGTTCCTGATGGGGCTCTAGTATGGAGGTGTCCAAGTGAACAAAATTCTGGTCTGTTTCTTCTGAGCTGTCGGAATGTGCTTCCTCCTCGCTTCGGTTTAAGATCTCATAGTCACTAATGGCGCCAGTCAGGACGTCTTCTTTTCCTAGCTCCTTGTCCTGTTTCTGTCCCATCACCCCTGTGAAGAACACATATCCCCACCCATGAGTTTATGAACAGACAGATCTGTAACGAGCCTCCTCCCATTTCAAGCTCTCTCTTGTTCCTCTCACGTCACTCCTTACTGGAATGTTGCATTGCCTAAAATTAAATGACTCTCAATGTGGCTACTGAGTCACAGAACCAAAATGGGAACCGGACAACTGGCAGAGTAGATCAGTTACCAGGTGCGAAGGTCACATTAGACATGAAAGGGGAAAACCCACGGACTCCAAACATATCCTACGGCTCTTGACTACAACATGCCAGACCTCCTGGCCACTGTGGCTATGTTTCCATCCAAGCTGGAAATTTAGTTGATCATTTATTTTAATATATTAAAATGAATTCAAATTAATATATTAAAATTAAAATTGTGTATATTAAAATGAATTAGTAATATATAAAAATACCAATATATTTACATGACTGTTCAAAAGTTTAGTGTCAGTAAGATCTTTTAATGTTTTTGGAAGAAGTCTCTAATGCTGCATTTATTTGATCAAAAATACAGCAAAAACAGTAATATTACAATTTAAAATGACTGTTTTCTATTTATATATATATTGTAAATATATTTCATTATAATAGTTATATTATTATTACATTTATTTTTATAAAAAAAAAAACATATTGACCCCAAACCTTTGAGTGGTAGTGTGTGTGTGTGTGTGTGTGTGTGTGTGTGTGTATAATATCCTAAAATTTGCATAAAAATATGTGGATTGAATTACAGACTGGCTTACAGAACAGCAGCACAGGATCATTTTCAAGGAGTTTAGATCTACTGATTTATTTTTAGTAACAATGTAATATTTATTCATAACTTCTCATTTATTTATTGTTAAAAATTTAGTTATCCTGACTTTGATATACTGCATAAAAGCAATGCATTTTTTTCAGAAAGTGACCTGTTGGCACAAAATAGACACACTGACCAATCTGGTTCCATCGCAGGGTCATATGAACTCTGTGACCTCTGGCTATAACGGTCATGGCTTTATCAGTGACCTTCTGAAACTTCCATTGCACAGTGGTTTGAAAGAAAGAAGCATCCCATAATGCTCAGCTGACTGTAGTGTCACAATGTGGGTCTTGTGGGAAGAATAGTCTAAAATAGCCTCCCAAATATAAGCATATGATAAGGTGTAAGCATGTCCTTTGTCCTCTGCCCTCATGCTGATATCAAAACTAAAAAAGCACAATGTTTTACTTAAGCATAAAAGGTCAAATAGGATAAAGTCATTTCATCAAGAAGGCCTACATTAAGTACAGTATACTAGTCTGAATATTTTGAGATACATGACACAGCTTGTGAATGTGGGCTTCTCTGTGTAAACATGAATGAATATGGCTCTATGTTATCAGTAAATGTCATCTCATTTGTGCCTCTCAGCATGATGGGATATTTTAAGGGTCCAGTGCTCTGTTTTGACTCTTTACTCTGTCTGAGAATGTCAGCTGTAGAGGTAAAGCTCAACTGGCTGGGCTGCTGCATGAATGGCAAACTTATATTATGGTTATGTCATTGCACAGGCACTGCACAGTAAATCTAATGGGTTATTTTGAGTTTGACGACCTCAGCTTGCAATATCCCAAGCAGCGGGGAAGGGCCATCCATAAAAAGAGACTCTCAATTTAGCTCCCTACCCAAAAGGGTTGAGTGAATTTGCAGATTGAGCACAAAGTTTTATGCTCAAATATACAATGTACACAATTTCACATACAGTAATAGCAGATGGATAAATAAATGAAACTGGTTGTCGCACTGGTTGTATTTGAGCTATAAGAGACTTGGAATTGCTAACCTGTTATTCAAATGACAACTATCAGCAGCCGCTGTTTTTATTATCTGCTGTATGCAAAACAATCTTAACTAAATGCAGTCAAACATGTTTTAAAGTTCAGTGATCCGTTTAAGTAGCGTTCCACATTTTATTTGTTTTTCTTTGTAAAAATGTAAAGGTGCGAATATTTTTTCAAGAGGACTTTAAAAAGAAATCTTCCTGAGACAACTAATTCACAAATACATTTACATTTATATGTATGTCTTTAGCAGATGCTTTCTGCCATGAGAGATTTACAATACAGCAGAAATCACATTACTGGCAAATACAGATGTAGCACATGCTAAACAAATACAGCTCACAATCTCACCGTGTTCATGTAAGGAGAAAAATCCTCACCAGTGATGCAGATATGTCTTTGGATTGGACTACTTTAGTCTGTTTAACTGTCTCCAGCTTCAGTCTCTGGGCTGCTCCTGTGTCTGGTTCTTGTGATGTCAGAATCACATTTGCCTAATTCAATAAGAGTTCCTTCTGTGCCAAAGGAAGGTCAGGAAAAGCAACACTTTTTCTTCATTTACATGTCATTTACTTAAAAACTCATTTTGTTGAAAATGTCTCCATACTAAGAAGTGGATTGTGATGTGTAGTGCATTTATTATAATAATTATCAACACAGTTCTCTCTCTCTCTCCAAGCCACTCGTGGCTAGAAAAAACGCAATACTAGTCCATTTCTGATGCAGACAATAAACAATTTATTTCTATAATTAACTGTACATTACATTATAAAACAAAGTGCAGCACAACTTAAAGTGGTCAAAATGAAGTAAAGTGTATAGATGATGTATGTTCCAAGTCACTTCTAAGAGCTGTTTAGTTAGGGCTAAAGGCAATCTTACAGTTTCTTGAATTGATTTTATTGTTAGGTTAGTGTGTTCAAACATGCCAAAACATGACAATAAATGACTTTGGTCTCCTCTATTCAAATATGAAATGTAGTATCAAAATGAAAGATAAACAGACTTGAATAAGCCACGAAATATGATTTTTTTTTTTCAAAATATGCTTTGCTCTATGAAGACCGCAAACAGGTGGAGACAAAACCAATGCGAAACAAAGAGCGGTTTTTACCAAAGAACCGTTAGACAACTGATTGCAAATGGCAACAGGTAAGGCACTTGCATGTCTGAAGAAACAAAATGTCTAGTACTCAAAACAGCAGCAGCTGGGAGGAGGTACGACGAGCCATGAGCGGAAAGCAAAACTATAACTTTACTCTCTTTGGGAGGCCATCTTTTTTTGGCAATTGTAATAATTTTGATTTGCAGGAATACCCCCCCCCCCCAAAAAAAACAACAACAACAACAACAACAGACTCCTCAAGTAAAAGAAATGAACATTAAAGGGAGTTTGAAACAGTAAAGGTGTTAGAAACAGTTTTTATTGCTGTTGTGTTTCAGTCTGTGTGAGAGC